CAGCAGATAAAATACAGAGCAATATAAGAAATATTTTCAAATAAAGAAGGACATGTGGGGACTTCCCTGGTGGTCCAGTGGTTAAGACTCTGTGCTTCCACTGCAGGGGACCAGCTCCCTGGTCCGGGAGCTAAGATCCTGCATGCCACGCAGCACAGTCAAAATTTTTTTTAAAATAATAATAAAATAAATAAATAAAATTTAAAAAATAATAAAAAAGGACATGTAATTATGATAAAAGGGCCAATTTATTAGAAAAACATAACAATTATAAATTTGTGTGTACCTAATAACAGAGCTTCAAATAATTAATGTAAAAACTGGCAGAACTAAAGGAAAAAATAAATCTATAAGCATAGTTGTAGATTTAATACCCACTCTCAGTAACTGATGGAACTAGTCCAAAAAAAGAAAGCCAGGAAATAGATATAAACACTACTAGCTACCTTCACCAGAATGGCACTTACAAAAAACTACTCCCCCAAACTGAGTAATACATTTTTTCCAAGGGCATATGAGATATTCATCAAGTTTGACCAAAATAAAGAGTCTCAAATTTAGTAAGATTGATATTTTACAGTGTATACTCTCTGATCAGGACAAAATTACGTTAGAAAAAAAATGAATAAAATCTCTAGAGAAGCCCCAAATATTTGTACTATTAAATAAAAGGAAAAGGAGAAAATATTTTGACATGAACAAAAATGAAAATGAAACACTATAATTGGCTGGATGCTAACTCAGTACTTAGGGGGTTTATAGTTTTAAATGAGAAGCAACTAAAACCCAACATAAGGAAAAGAAAGGAATATTTTTTATAAGTCAATAAAATAGACAAAAGATGAACAGATAAAAACAATAAAATCGGCTTCCCTGGTGGCACAGTGGTTAAGAATCCTCCTGCCAATGCAGGAGACACGGGTTCAAGCCCTGGTCCGGGAAGATCCCCCATGCCGGTGAGCAACTAAGCCCGTGCACCACAACTACTGAGCCTGCGCTCTAGAGCCTGGGTGCCACAACTTACTGAGCCCACGTGCCACAACTACTGAAGCCCATGTGCTTAGAGCCTGTGCTCCACAACAAGAGAAGCCACCGCAATGAGAAGCCTGTGCACCCCAACAAAGAGTGGTCCCTGCGTGCCGCAACTAGAGAAAGCCTGTATGCAGCAACAAAGACCCAGTGCAGCCAAAATAAATTAATTAATTAATTTTTAAAAAAAGTAAAATCAAAAGTTAACTCTCTAAAAACACTAAACAAAGCTGAAAAAAACATATCAATGAAAAGGGAGAGTATTACTACAAATCTTACAGATATTAAAAGGATAAGGGAATAAAATGAATAGCTATATGCCCGAAAAAGTCAACTAAGAAAATACACAAAATCCTTTAAAAAAAAAAAAGCATGATACTATGTTACCCTAAAGAATCTACAAATATTAAAAGGAAAAGAAAGCACAGTTTCATTTCAATAAATTTAAAAGTAAGATGAAATGTACAAAAACCTTAAAAAATGCAACTTTCTGAAATTGAAATTAAGATGACAGAGAAAATCATTTATAGATGAAACTGACTTTCTTATCAAAACCTTCCCCCAGGGGACTTCCCTGGTGGTGCAGTGGATAACACTCCATGCTCCCAATGCACAGGGCCTGGGTTCGATCCCTGGTCAGGGAACTAGATCCCACATGCATGCCGCAACTAAGAGTTTGCATGACTCAACTAAGGAGCCCACAAGCCACAACTAAGGAGCCCACAAGCCACAACTAAGACCCAGAGCAAACAAATAAATAAAAAAACAAAAACACCCAAAACCTTCCCCCCAAAGAAAACAAAAGACCTATTTAGTTTCAAGGGTAAATTCATTCGTATATTTAAGGAAGAAATAATTTCTACTCAAGGGTTTAAAATAAAGGAGAGGGAAAAACATCATACAACTCATTTTTGAGACCAGCATAACCACATACCAAAATCTGGCAAAGACACCATAAGAACAGAAAACTATACACCAGTATCCCTAAAGAACATACATATAAAACCCTTAAAATATTAATCAAATCAAATGTAGCAATATATAAAAAGGATAATAATACTTCAGGAATACTCACATTCAAACTATTTTTTTAAAAATCAGTGTAATTCACAATACATTGTATTATTTAAAAAATGAATGACCATCTTAAATAGATGAAGAAAAAGTGCATGACAGAATAACTCAATTTAAAAATGGGCAAAATATTTGAACAGACATTTCACAAAAGGAGCTACACAAACGGCCAATAAGGACATGAAAATACACTCAGCATCTTGATCAACATGGGTCTGAACTGCCCAGGTCCACTCATACACAGATTTTTTTCAGTAAATACACACAGTAGTAGATGATCTGCAGCTGGTTGAATCCAAGGATGCAGAACCACAGATATGCTGGGCAGACTATAGAACCTGAGCATCTGCAATTCGTCCTAAAACCAATCCCACCGCAGATACTGAAGAATGAGGGTACAGCTAAATACCAACTACAATGGTTAAAACTTTAAAAACTGCAGTTTATCAATTGTTAGCAAGGATATGGAACAAATTCTCATACATTGCGGGTAGGACTGTAAATGGTACAACCACAAAGGAAAACAGTTTGGCAGCTTCTTATAAAGTTAAACATACACCTACTAAATGATTCAGCATTTTCATTCATATCTTTATGTAAGTAAAGGGAAAACTTATGTCCATACAAAGACTTGGATACAGGTGTTCCTAGCAGCTTTATTCATAATAGCCCAAAACTGGAAACAACCTGCATGTCCACCAATGGATAAAGAGACAATTCAGTACAAACAAATGCAGTAGACCCATACAGTGGAATACTACTCAGCAATGAAAAGCAACAAATTCCTAATACATGCAACAACACTGCATGTATATCAAACACATTATGCTGAGCAAAGGAAACCAAACATAAGAATACAAATTATATGATTCTATTGATTTGAAACCCCAGGAAAGACAAATCTACAATGATAAGAAGCCAATCAGTGGCTGCCTAAGGTATAATGGGGGGACTGGCTGGGAAGTCTCACAAAGGAGGCTTCTGAGGTAATGAAAGTATTCTATGTATCTTGACTGAGGTACTGGGTACATGAATTTAGCCTTTTGTCAAAACTCACTGCACTGGAAGACAATGATGACTTCCTAGGTCACCATCTTCCAACATTTACTCCCCAAAACAATACAGAACAACAAAAACCACAGCCTCAGCATAACTTGAAGACAAAGAATACCCAAACTTCAAAACAAGAATAAGTGAAAAAGGAAAACAATTCCCAGTGCATACTTTCTTGTCCTATTGCGACCAATTTCCCAACCCACTCACCCCCACCTCAAAGGCTTTGGGTAAAAGGAGACTGAATAAAAACTGCAGAAGAGAGACCAGAGAACTAGTGGCAGGCATAAGGATGAAATAAGGGTTGTCCTGGTAGATCAAAGTATGGACTACATTCAATTAATTTCATCCAAACAAGAGATGACTAGGAAAACTTCAGAGAACAGACTGAAGGTAAGCATTTTAATATAAAAGTAGAACTACAACTAAAATATAGGTGGGGATGAGGAAGGAGGACTAATGTACAAATATTTATATATTGTGACAAATAATGCAACTAAAAATGGGAGAAGATAGAGAAAAAAGAAAATAGAATAACCACACACTGATTTTTAAGTAATCAACTGGTAGAAATTAAAGAATATCAATCCAAGGACAAACATAAGACTGTAAAACTTCTACAACAAAGCACAGAAGAAAACCTTTGAAACCTTGGGTTACACAAACATTTCTTAGACAAAACATGAAAAGAATAACCTATAAGAGAAAAAAATTAATGAACTAGACTTCAGCAAAATTAAAAACTTTTGCTCTGTGAAAGACACTGGTAAAAGAATGATAAAACACACCACAAAGAAAATACTTCCTAACCACTATGTGACAAAGGACTTGGATCTTGAATATATAATGAACTCTAAAAACTCAATCATAAGAAAAAAAACAACTCAAAGGAAAAATGGGCAAAAGATCTGAATACACACTTCACCAAAGAAGATAGTATAAGGATAGCAAATAAGCATAAGAATAGATGCTCAACATCTTAAGTTATTAGGAAAGTGCAAATTAAAATGACAATAATAACAACCACTATACACTTATTGGAATAGTAAAAATCAAAAGAATTGGCAATAACAAGTACTGACAGAGTTGGAGTGCAACTGGAACTCTCATCACTGCTGGTGGGAATGCAAAGTAAACAAAGTAAACAACTTTGGTAGTTTCTTAAATAGTAAAACACATACTTACCTAATGACCCAGCAATAATACTCTTAGATATTTACTACAGAGAAATCAAACCTAAGTTCACATAAAAATCTGTATGTAAATATTTATAGCAACTTTATATAGAATCATTAAAAAACTGGGAACATCCTAATGTCCATCAACAGGAAAACGGATAAACAAATTTACACTCAGACAATGAATGCTGCTCACCAGTACAAAAGAACAATCTTCTAATAATCAAAATGATGTAGATAAATCTCAAAAAAATGCTGAGTGAAAAAAGCCAAATGCAAAAGAGTAGATAATGTAATTTTCCATTTATGTAAAGTTCAAGAATGGACAAAAATGACCTATGGTGATGGACATAAGAACAGTGGCTGCCAAAGGCAAGGGTTGGAAGTCATTGATTTGAAAGGAGCATAGAGATGATGGATATGTTCAGCATCTTGGTCTGAATTATGATTACACAGGCATATGTTTGTCAAAATTCATTGAGCTCTACATTTAAGATTTGTGCACTTTACTGCTTATAAATTATATTCAATAAGGTACTGTTAGCTTTTTAAAAAGGCATCATTAAATTTATTTTATATAAGTATTATTCTGTCATCCCTTTCTTGTTTTTTAAAAAATATTAATTTCTTAAAACAGACCAAGTTTTAACTATTTAATTTCTTTACCTGAAGGATGCTGTTCCATTCTCTTTTATTTTGTTTTTCTGAATAGATGACTGAACTGACAGAACTTTATTTCCTGGCAGGGTAATCTGCTTTAGAATGGAAGCTATAAAATCAAAAGAAGAAAGAAAAGGTAAAATTTAAAAAAAGCAATCACACTACATTAGGAAAAATTCAGGACAAGTTATTTTCAATGCATATAGAATAATCAAAGAAAATTTCAAGCTGCCCTAGAACTATGTTTAAATTCAAACATGACAATGAATTTATTCCCTGCACAAGAAATCATAAAATTAAGACCTCTCCCATTTCTTTTTATATAGTCCTCAAATTGGCTAGAGAATTACCAGCATTATAAAAATATTATGCAGAAAAGGTGACAGAAACATGTTAATAATATATCCTTTATATTGGTAGATTTAAAAAATACATAAAACCTCTTTTATTTGTAAGACTGACTTCCAAACGTAGGGAA